TTTGGTTACCAGATCAGTACTATGATTAACTCTAACCATTTTTTGTTTTTTTTTTTTTTAAAGTGGGAGCTCTCATTGACATTGGATAATGATACATGTATTGCTTCTTCTTGAAAATTTTCCAAGTGTTTCGTTCCCTCATTGAAAAGTATGAGAAGTGATAATGTATCACAAAAATTGCTTACCGGATTCGCTGCTTAAAGATGGACAATTTCTTCCACATCTGGAACAGGGATTTCAAATTTCAGTCTTTTAAATTCATTATTTCTCAGATTTTCCAACATTTAAAGTAACCCACATTTGACACCACTTTTGAAGAAGAGCTAATTTTAAATGTGGCAATTAAGAACCAAGAACAATGATACTTATGAAACATTTCATGAAAAAAAAACATTATTTTCATGTACGAAAATTTTTACTCCTTGTCAAGCCACCTCCGATTTCATTGTCATATTACCCGTGTAATCCCTCACTATGTTGAAACCAAGTTTTCATAAAAAGACTATTCGAGAAGTGAAATATTAAAGAGAATACAGCCTCTTACATCATACCTGTATCTGAGGAACTGTACAGAATTTGTTAAGATTCAATATTCAGAGCTTAATTAGTCTCTCCAAAGAATGGTGTCTTCTTATAAATTTTGCATTATTCGAATAAAGGTTCGAATTGAACACTGAGTCTCCTGGTTGAGTTTTTTTCTAGATGTTGATGGTGAAAATATTCTCACTAGTCGGAGATTTGTTAGCTTACGACTAGTCAAAACTCTGTAAAATTAATAATCCGGAGAATAATTTTACAGAGTTTCGACTTGTCAGCAATGCGATAATGAGTGATTTCCTACTTTTTTCCTCGTATGATTAGACTAACTTCAGTAAGTAGAACTTTCCAGCATGACGCATGCATCACAGACTGAAGACAGAAGGCAAGCTCTTTCATTAAATTCCATTTCTCAGAGGAATTTAATGAGAACGTAGAGCTTCTACCCCAGGTGCGATTGCACTTGCGCAGGGCAGCATCAGTAAAGGACTTCCTTTTTTACGGACTTTGTTGAGTTACCAAATGGAAGTTGTGCATATGCTCCAAATGCTATTCAAGATCCTTTCTATAAGGTGTTATCTCCTGAATCTTGTGAGTAAAGAAAGGGATACTCCCGAGATTCTCACTGCAATAGTACAAGCTCATCAGATACTCCAGCTTATTGAAAATAATGCCAGTAAGGTCAACAGCTTCCAGTTGTTGACATCATGAACAGAGGTAGGGGTTTCCGGATACTACCATGGACATAAGTTCTACCGCTGATTGCTCATCATTGATGAAACCGAAGATTGCCTACCGGTCTGGATATATACGCAATAATGCAATATTCTTCCTCTGCAAGTTCAGGAGTGGAAATACTTTGATGAATTTATGAAGCCAATGGCAGTTTACACGCTTTCTCAAATGTTTATGAAGATATTCCGAAGTTGCAGTGGAGGAATATGGTTGGTATGTGATGTCAGGACTCAGCAATGTACTGATCTCGGCTCAGATCTTCTAGCACAGGTAGGTATTGAAGAGAGAATCAGTGTTGTGTATTGAAGGTCCCAGTGTCAGGTAGAGCTGCTTCTTATGTTATGTACTTTCAGGTCTATGGTCTAAATGAACAGCAGAATAACATCCACATCCAAATGGATATTTATCCGAATATTTCAGCAACATCATATCAATTTCATCCTTTGAGTTGAGCATAGATTCCGAAATCTGAGAAATTGGTTCGGGTCAAAATGGTCTTGTCAGATTCCTGTTCTTGTTTCTGATTACTACTTTCCTCTGAACTGTTACAACCACCTTGATGCCAATCAATTATGCCGTAAAGGAATTTCCACTATCACTCTTAAATTCATTTTTCTATCAGCAGGTAATTTTTCAAATTTTGATTAGAGGGACAATAAGTGTCTGTAATACCTGGGTGGTGCGAAGAAAACATTTCTGGTCGTAATTTCTCACTCATCTTGGAAACTGATGAAGGAGGAGATGAGCAGCAGGCATTTCGAAGAACTCGAGTATTTTCTCTGGTTGACTTGGAGACGATCACTACGTCCATATGTCAGTCCAGAAAGAAGGACGTTTGGACGATGATCGTGGTGAACATTTCAGAGGAGAGTCTAGTCAGAAAATATACGAGCCACAGATAAGCAAGATTTAATTGTATAAGCTCCAACACGACCAGAAGAATGAGAAACAGTTGAGGAATTACGAAATGATGACAGCTTAATGAACCTTGTGTTCGGTCATAACACCACAATGCAGTAACTGTCATCGTGTCGATAAATCACATATCGATGACCCAAGAACCAGGTTTGCTACCGAAGCAGGTCCTCTACGAAATTGTGAAGTGCTGATGGGATTGGGGAGGGGATATCTGTGGGCACATAAAATGTTTACACGATGACATACTGTACTCATTAGTATGTGGCTGCCAGCCTGAAAACTGGCTGAGTAGAACTAAAGTGCAGAGAATTAAGTAGTAAGACAAAACTGATTAGATGTAGATGGGAAACGAGTCTGAGAGGAATACATGAGAGTGAAGAATGTCTCTCATGTAGTGGGATTTTTCCCCATGTATGAAGTTGGCTCGAACCTTCCAAGAATCAATTCTTCACTACTCCTTCGCCTGTAGGTTCCAATGCCCAGTAGCCATGACTCAAATATTGCGGCTACTCTGAGATTTCGATCCAGGCCAGTGAATTCCGTGAACACCTTGGACTCCATAAGCAGAGCGATGTTGAGAAAATAGTTTCGTTCTCATGTGAGAAGGAGCTACATTCCTTTAGATCACCAACAAAGGAGCTTCGCACTCCTTGCCACACAGTATACAAGTTGAGTAATGCTTCTCCATGTTGCTCTTCTTGTGATAGAGAGGGATGAACCCTATTCGGAACTTGAACTTGAGGTGTATTTCCACACAATGACCAACCTGGAGATGGTTACAAGATGGTAAAGCTGACATTATGTGAACCTTCTATTTCTTCTATCTGGAAGTACTGCCACAGAGAAACAATGCGAGCTGCTGATAAGGCACGGTATGTGCCATCTTAGATACTAAGAAGAAGGGCTTAAAAAGACATTTCTGGCTTGTGTTCAGATGAGGGAGATTTCATGATGAGAGAACCTTCTGGTCTATCAAACATCATCCAGGCGCGTTCAACAGTCGAGGTTCAGCCAGTTACAGAACATGCTGCTGAAGCTGTCATACTCAACAAGGGCATCCTGTTCTTCAGATGCACTTATCCGGAGTTCTGTAGAATGTTATCCAACTATGATGACAAACTACCAGTTTATCTAGTCGTGTGCTGAACACCCTAACACTGGCATCTCACCATTTAACGGAGACTGTCGTAAGAGATCATCAGGTGACGTTGCTGCATGCTCATTATCACACTGAACGCTTCACATGATACTGACTCATCTGCCACATGTACTGAAAGTGTTAATGATGAAGGAGAACTTGCTCAGATATAAGTTGGTACACAGACAATCAGTGATTGGAATCAATGCTCCGATGGAGTAGGGATACTGGATTCTTTAAACTTGTAATATGTAATACTATGCTTTCTTCCTGAACCGGAGTCTGGATTTATTTATTGGATTCTGATACTTCACTTCTTCAGGGATCTTGGACCGTTCGAACCATTCGACTACCTTAGCGCCACAAACGCTGGCTAAACCTCCTGGATTTGTCAAATGTGGAGCAGAACTAGAATTGAAGTATCACCGGTCCGTGTATCGAAATCCCAGGCTCCCAAAACATCCAGTACACTGGTTGGAAGATTCTGAAATACTTCGGTTTCGTTCTTAAGTGAAGCCAAGTTGAAGATTCACATCTCCAATTTCACATGTCCAGCTTTGCTCTCTTCAAAACCCTTCGACCTCAGATAGTCTTCAGACAGTCAGAATCATGTATAAATTACAGAAACATGGAAGGTTGATGTACTGAAACTCTGCTCCCTAGAAGTCTTGATGAGGAAAATCCCGGTGCATATGTTTCTTAATCGCAACAGTCACGAGTTACAGGTTTGAAAGCAATCACATTTCAATGTAAACTGAACCTTGCTGGGCCATATAGAGTAGAGGACGGAACCATTTTGAATTCGCGTGATACAGAAAAGTAATCTAGTAGTCCAGTTGCCAAATTGCCCTGCGACTCACTAAACCATAAACTTGGAAGCAAGATTAATAGATTCTTCGAAGCGTTAGGCTTGGTTACGTGTTGGAACCTTCAAGTCATACTCGAACATTTAAGCGGTCAGAAGCCTAAACATCCTGACAATTTGTCCTGCTCTCCTTCCTTGAATATCTATCATAAAACGTTTTGAGTAATTAATTGCCGGCAATGGTTTGTCCGAAAGACGTCTCAAAGTTCAGCGACGGTTAATTCTGTCATTGTCATGAGTTTGGCGCACAAAGTTCGTAGGTCGATCGAGTAAGGCAGGCCTGACTCAAAACCCCTTCTATTCTGTGGTGAACTTCTAAGAGTTTCGCTCCAGCTCTGCATCTCTGAGGATGACTTGCAAGCCACTTCGTGATACCACCTGTGGACACTGCAGTCTGATGGGATTCCTGGGGTTGTAGAAATAGCGCCAGTCCATCGGACACTTCGTTAAAAGTCCTACATTCTTGACATGTTTGAAAACAGTCGACTGACAGTAAACCCAAAGCTTCAAGATACATACGAGCGAGCCACTTCTTACAGGGATGAACCGAAAACCCGCTAAGACTTCATTGATGCATATCATGAGCATATAGAACACGGATTTTGTGCCTTCGAATAGCATGGACCGAAGATTGTCTAAGTAGCTGATCTTCTTTCCGGCACAACAAAATACGTGAATTATCTTTGATTCATAGTGGAGTTGAACCCTGGTGGGAAGTGAATAAACCATGTGACACAGCCCCACATTACCACTATCATGTCCCACAAGTGAGAAAGGATAGCGGCAGTCTGTGTCCACAGGACTGAAGCACACCCGGTGGGTCTCGTATCCGCAATCCCCTGATTAGAAGTTAGATTCCTTATCCATTAGGCCACGGGTACTCGTGCCGATTTCTACAAAAAATAATATAGTTTGTTGACTTCTCTAGTTCTTAGTTTTCTACTTGTAAAATACGTTAGGAAATTTGCATGTTATTTGATTCAGTAAATTTTCATAGATACTTGATGGCACACGAGCTAAAAGCGAGACAGGAATTAAAAAAGACATGAACTGCCCTTTTCTGATTCGCATCATAGGTCCAATTATTTCTGACCCTAAAATCTTCATCGTACAGCATCCCACTGTCATCAAATCAGAACTCATAGTTCTTTTGGTGAAACCACAATGTGATAAAAAAGATCATAGACATTGTGAAGGCTATCCGTGTCAAGCTTCGCGGCCATTGAATCAATATTGTCCATCTCTTCACCATCCCTCTCGCCCGTACATGGAATTTGCAGGTTTGAGACTGAGATTTGAAGACAAAATTTCATTACCTACCATGCTCTAGAGAAAATCCTGTTCCCATCTCTATCTTCTCTACCCATCTCTATCTTCTCTACTGTGCCCTCCATAATTCGTTTTATGGAGTTTGGGTAGGGCTGATACAAAAACGTCCAAGAGCGATATCTTCCATTTGATTTGATCTTTATGAAAGATTTATTGACCTTAATGAGTGTTGTTAGATTCTAATGCACAATCCCTTATGTTAGGTAAGGATGCACTGCTTGGTTTTGATATGTTAAAGATCAATGTGAAGAGATGTTCATTTTAGATTGAGACATGTCTTGGAGTATATGTGATCTTAATCCTGCATCTCCACCATACATCACATAGATGGAGTTGACTGTGCAAGTTCAAACAAATCATATCACAAATAGATCTCTTACGCAAGCATGTGATGTTGCAAAGTCCTAAAAAATGTATTGGTGGGTGTGGCAATGTTATTTCCGATAGGATTAAGAATTTATTCTTGAGAAAAGATAATCTCTTGTCGATGAGGTTGGAAATTTGATGAGGATTGAGTGAGTTAATAACCGGTGTGGATCATTACCATTTCTAGCCCTTTATTGAGTGGAGGTTTGACATATGTTGTGGTCTTTAATCCTTATGTTACTTGACTTGGTGATTTGTTTGAGAAAACATGGATACAAAAGACAATCCATGTTAAGAGGATATTGTTACCATTCGAAATCTCCGTGGAATAATGTCATTCACGTTAGATGAATCATTAGGTTTTTCATGTATATAGCAACAACATGCTTTTCAGCTTATATATTAGGCTTAAAGTGAATTTTTTTGCTCTAGGGTTGAAGGAGACGAAGAAAGTTATTCCCATTTCCGCTATGTTATCATCTTTGGATACAAGACCTATCGGTTGGTTGTATCTAGAGAAAGTCATATGTTTGTTGGATCTTGTAAGAGGGCTATGCATAGATTTGGTTGTTGTTTTTGCATTCTAGCATATGAGTATATCGATACTTGTATGTGGAGCAAGATGAAATTGCAAGGTGTGTTTCATTCCGTAATGTGGCACAAATTGATATGATGATACATAGTTTTTTTGCCATTGTCAGCATTTCAAGGATATCAGTAAGTATTACCACCAAATATTTTATTTCTAGGGATGCAAGATCTTGTTCAACATATCACCATTAATTTGATTATTGTAGGATGGCCATGTCAAGAACATGGTAGTCATGATCATGGTTTACAAGATTCACATTCTTGTATATTTTGGGAGATGTTATGTGTGTTACAATCTCTTTAGACATAGCTAATCTATTCACCAACATACATTTTGTTATACCTAATGGGGTTTAGCATTGATTATTGGGAAGAGACAACCCCTTATCGATAAGGTTGGCAATCTAATAAGGGTCAAATGTGTGGATTACAAGTGCAATTCATGATTAATTCTAGCCCTTTATTGAATGGAGGTTTGACATATATTGCGACCTTTAGTGCTTATGTTTCTTGACCTCATGATTTGTTGGAAAGAAACATAGTTGCAAATGACAATCCATGTCTAAAGGATTTTCTTACCATTTGAAGTCTTAATGGAGTATTATCATCCATGTTGGATGAATTTTTAGATACTTTGTGTATAGAGCTATAATAGTTAGCATATGAGTTTATACATTAGGTTTGGAGTGAGTCTTTGCCTCAAGGAATGGAGTAGACAAAGTAAATTATTCACATTTCTGCTATGTTGTTGCCTTTGGAAGAAACATCTATTGCTTGACAGTATCAAAAGGAGTGCATATGTGTGTTAGATATGTTTGGAGGGGTTAGCATAAGTTTGGGTGTTGTTTTGCAGTTTGGCATACGACTATATCAATAGTTGTATGTGGAGTGTGATGAGATTGCAAGCCATGTTTCATTATGCCATGGAGCACAATTAGTGCAACAATATCTAGATTTTTTACCATTGTTGGTAATTCAAAGATATCAAAAGGTCTTGTCATTAGATATTTTGTTCCTATGGGTGTAATATCTTGCTTCACATAGTATTATTCATTTGGTTATTGCTAGATAGCCATGTCAAGGACATACATGAGCTTGTTATGGTTATGGGTTACAAGATTCATGCTCTGAGCTATTCAAAAGTATATATTTTGGAGAATATTTCATTATTAAATGATTCACGTGCACGACTCATGACAACAGTACATTAGGTGTGGTCATGGATTGGACCAGTGGTATTATTTTATGCAATGAAATAGGCACTTGTCCATATCGTTCATGTCTATGATGGAAAATTCTTTTTTCGAGGAATATTTTATTGTAGGAGCATATGTCAGGGTGCAAATTTCCTCACATCTCACTATGGAGTGTATTTTGGATGTGGATATACATTTCTAGCTAGTGGTCTATGTTGATAGATCATACTTGATAGTGGTGATTCTTGTGGAGTAGCCAAGAGCTACATTACCCACATTGTTGAGTTATCTAGCTTCTCATGCATACAGAGAGGAAGGATTTAGACTTATATGGGATTGTCGCTTGTAGCGTTTGATGGAACCAAACGATGATAAGAGAGTAAGCTATGAGCTTTTGTATTAGTACAGCAACAATATCTTCATTATTGGAGGTATCACAAAGTCAAATGTTGGATCAGGTTATGGACTTGAACTGCTTGACATGCATTTTGAGCCTTGGATTAGCCAAGTAGACATACATGCGCACCACACAAATGATTTCAAGACCATTTTTGGACTTTTTTCCTATCAAGAAAATGGAGATAAAAGCTGGGGTTGAGAAGTGCTCAAGACCTCATCCTTGGTTTTATTGGAATGTTAAACAAGGAGAATTGGAGTCTAATTCTAGTTTGGTTGGAGTTTTTGCATAAAGCAACCAATGGTTATCCTTAAAGAGATGTATGACAAAGCTCAAGATGTTATAGCTAGTTTGGTTGGAATTGTTTACTCCGAGCCAATGAAGCCTGCTATGTGAGAGCAAAAGAAGCTTTTTACTCACGAGGTTGTTGTTTAGCAACTAAATACTACATCCTCTTCCTCTATTGTTGATGGAGAGGAGATTTGGGATATTGAGATTGATCCGAAAATGGCAAGAGGGAAAAGATGTAAATTGTGAAGATTTCTAAAAAGTTTCAGAAATTTTTTTGCCTTCATTATCAAAAATTAAGTATGTTTGAAGAGACAGGATATATAAATTGACTTGAAAATTGATGCATCAATCTTTAGTCATCCTTATCGATATAGCGATATGGAAAGAGATTTGATCCAAAGTAGATATCAAGATCTTCTTGAGGCTGGATTAGTGGAAATATCATATGAAGAATATGCCTCTACTATGATGATGACAATCAAGAAAGATATACATGATAATTATAAAGATAGATGCATATGTGATGATTATCGATTAATCAATCAACATACAAATTTTGATGGATATGTTATGCCTTTAGTTGATGAGATATTTGATATGGTTGGATATGCAAAGGATTTTTGTATGTTGGATTTATGGATAGGCTATCATCAGTTGCATATTCGAGATGAGAATAAGGCCAAGATAGCCTTTTAGGTAATTGATTTGCATGGCAAGGATGTGTTGTATTAGTGGAAATTCTTACCTTTTGGGTTGAAGAATGCACTTATTAAGTTTCACAGAGTGATGGATAGGATCCTAGTCTAACTTGATTATGCACAAGACTACATGAATGATATTCTGGTATATAGTGCTCTAGTGATGGAGCATGAGAATAATTTGTATGAGATAATTAAACGAGTGATAGCTCATGACCTCAAGTTGGAAAGAGTAAGTTCTTTCGTGATCAGATAGAGTACTTGGATCATATCATATACCCAAGAGGATTGAGAGTGCACCAAACCAAGATGGAGGAAATCTTTTGTATTTTGCAACCCTATGATGTGAGTAGGATGGGAGCATTCCTTGGACTTGCAAACTTTTATCATCGATATATGCAATGCTTTAGCACTATTGCTAAAGCCTTGACAAAGCTAGATCAAGAGTGGTATTGGGGGGATGAATAGAAGAGAGCTTTTGTTAGGCTTAAGAAAAGGTTGATATTTGCCCCTATTTTGAGGAGACTAGTGAAAGATCATCCATTTTAGGTACATATTGATTGTAGTATTTTTGATTTGAAAGCTTATCCAATATAATGATGAAGGGAAGGAATTTATTGTAGCTTATGTTATTTGTTTGGAAATCCATTCACCCTCATCACTAATCATCAACCATTGAAGTGGTTGATGGAATCATACAAACTTACACGAAAGCTTGCAGGATAGACTCCTATCCTTTAAGAGGATAATTCACGATTGTACATAGATTTGGAATGATGAATCGTGATATGCATAGATAAGTCAAAACTCATGTACAAGTCAAGTTGATGAGACCGAGGCTTGATGGCATGATGATACTAATAAGAAGAGGGTGTCATATTGACATGCATTTGCTTTTTTGAGAATGTTGGCTCTTAAAAGCTATGTGATATCCCTCTTGGATCAAAAAGTGGATATATTATCCAAGGACATTAAGACTAAGGATGATTTGGTAGTAAGCCAAGACATCCATGATG